TGAGGGAATGCACGAGCAGAATGAGTGTTTGAGGTGTTCTTGTAATTTTTGGATGATTCTGAGTATGCAGGGAGTTTTGAAGAGTTTTCTTGGGGTATTTTCTGATCATTTGCAATGAAGATTGACTTGGTATTTATAGGGAAAGTGAGAGGTTTGAAGTGTGGTCAGAATCCAACTTCTTGTTAACCATCTATTTGCATTTTCAAACTAAATGTGATGATGGTTTTTGTGTAGTTCAAGGCATCAAGTACACAGTGGTTAATCTTGGGCATGCTTCTACAGATGAACCTGTACTTGGGAGGCTTTGGGAGTGACTCTATGCTGAAATGGGGCAAAGGCCAGGCTTTTCAAAAATGGAAGTGGTCACTTTATACCATAAATGGAATAATCACTTGGTTCATGCCTCAAAACCTTGTGTACTGACTTGAATTTTCGTGTAACACTTTGATTAAGGAGTACCTTGCAATTAGAAAACCTAAAACACCAAGGTTTGCAGCAAAAGATTGGTTTTGCAACATGTCATACTAAGTTGGAACCTTGTATTTCAAGTTCTTAGACCTCAACTTCTTCTCTTCGAAACTCCTAGCTCACATATTCTATGAAGGAGTTCTTGTACTTTTTAGAAAGCCCTAAACATGCCTTACAACATTCATGTTTGATAAATTCCTTGAATAAAAAGGGATCATGATGAAATTTGGTCTTGAAGATGAATGAAAATTGAAGGGATAAAGCTTATCTTGAAAAATTCCAAGTGTTTTGAAATTCTTTCACACTTTGAAGCTTCATATCTCAAAATCCTAGTCTATTTTTCTTATAGGTCAGTAGGACACTTTTGTATTACATGATGAAATCTACAAATTGACCTTTGGAACTCAAAAAATGGATGTGTGGATTGAAAGTCATGATCTTTCAAAGTTAGCACCAAAAGTAGGGGTTTTTCATACACTTGGAAAAATTCAAGTATCTTAACTTTTCCTCTTTTGCAAGAAACCTCTCAAATCTTGATTTTTCATGATCAAACTCATTTATTAAACATGTCTTGATGAAATTTGGCTTGAATTCTTTAATTTAGACCAAAAACCCTAAAATTCAAAGGGTTGATTTTGTCAGATGAAATTTGTATAAGATGAATTCAACTGTGTGATCTTCAATGAACTTGCATCTTTGGAATTTTCAATCATCATATATAGGATCCAAGTATTTATATGAACATGTTGAGTCATGTATCAAGGTTTGGGATCATGCTTGGATCAAAAGTCAAAGGCACATTTGACTTTTCTTAACAAAACCCTAGTTTGGGGCCAGATGAAATTAGGCTTATAGTAGGATCAATTATCACTTGATTATTGTTGAATATAAACCTATTGAGTGTATGGAAACTTGGTTTGATGATGATCAATCCAAAACATTGACTGATCAACCAATAATCCTCTTGATTCCAAAGGAGCAAAAAATCTAATTCAGATGAACTTCAACAACAAGAAACTTGAAACAAGATTAAGGTTAGTGAACATATGCTTTATGCTCCTAGAATGGTGATGGAATCTAGGGGTCAAAATTTGGGGTATGATATCTATCTTCTAATATTGGTTTGAAAGAAGCTAATTCTCTTGGAAATTATCTTGGGGGTTCCCATCACAGGAAGGAAGCCTCGCTTCAAAGATTTCGGATTTCTTATTGACAAAGTCCAAGCTAAGTTATCCAACTGGAAAAGAAAGTTTATGTCCTTTGCTGGTCGTATTACCTTTGCTAAATCGGTTATTGAAGTTGTTCCCACTTACATTATGATGACCATGGACATCCCAAAAGCTTTCCTCCGAAAAATTCAGCAATGCCAATGTGAGTTCATTTGGGGCGATACTATTAACTAGAAGCACATCCCCTCTATCAAATGGAGTAGCGTGTGCAACCCGAAGCAGCTAGGTGGTCTTGGATTGCACAACCTTAAGGTCATGAATAAAGCCTGCTTAGCTAAACTGGGCTGGTCTTTTAAAACCAGACAATCCTCTCTTTAGGCCTCACTTTTGACTAGTAAATACCTTCCTAGGAACTCAGTTTCCGACAATTTGATAGTTAAGCCAAATGATTCGTATATTTGGAAATCTATTATTGAGACGCGCCCTATTCTTGATCGTTTGGCCTACTTGGAACTGGCCAATGACTCTTCTATTAATGTTTGGGACAATATGTGGGTGGCCCCGAGTATTGTCTTTAAAGCGTATTCTTAGTTGCAGGACACTTCCAAGATAAATATTGCTAACATGAAGGATCTCCTCTCCCCGAATGAAGCTTGGAATTGAAGCCTTTTTCATTAACATTTCCATGTTTTTATTATCAAAAAAATTCAAGCTATTCCTCTTCCTATTCCTTTGGAATTCACTAATGATGTTGGCCTATGGGGTGGTACTTCCAATGGAAACTTCTCTATTTCCAATTTATACGATTTCCTCTGTAAATCGAATGTTACTTCTCAGCCTTTCTAGTGGGAGGCTGTTTTGTCTATCAAAGCCCCCAAGAGGGTAAAAATCTTCACCTAGAAAATCATGCACAAAGGAATTAATACCAATGTCTTCCTCCATCAACGACAACTTTGTAACCCCGTTTGTGACACTTGTGGAGACCATCAGGAGTCTATTTTACATGCCGTCCATGACTGCATAACTCTCAAGAGCACTTGATCTCACTTGGTCAGTAACAACTTTAATTGTCTTTTCTTCTATGTTTATGAGGCCGACTGGCTTTGTCTCAATTTGAATTTGAGTTTTCATTATGCTGTGTCTGACTGGGCAACTTTTTGGGCCATGTGTTGCCATCTTATTTGGATGTGGAGGAACGAGAGAATTCGTGACCCCTTCTTCATTCCTCCTCCAAACTTATGGGAGGAAATTCAGAACCAGGCTGTTTTTTACAAGTGCAATAGCTCTTTATCCTGGAATCTGCATCGTGACCTCAGTAGGCTGGTTGACATGCAGCGACTTCCTCCTCCTTCTGATCGGTTTTGTCTCAACTCAGATGGTGCTTGTAGGAGTAACCTTGATGCTAGCTGTGGGGGTCTGTTTAGGGATATCTATGGACACTGGCTTGGTGGTTATCATAAGAGTCTTGGCCAGTGTACTGGTATTTTAGCTGAATATTAAGCTGTTTTGATTGGTCTTGAGTTTGCTTAGAAGAAGCAGTTCAAGAAAATCATTATGCAAATTAACAATAAAAGAGTTGTTGATTCTTTGTTTGACGTGACTTTGAATGCCAATCAAGATTCTTCTATTGTGAGTCATATTGTTATCCTTCTCCACAACTTTGAAGAAGTCAGTTTCCAACATGTTTATAGAGAAGTCAATATGTGTGCGAATTTTATGGCCAAGTTGGATCTTCCTAGTTGCACTGAAGGAATTTGGTTGGATAGTGCCTAATTAGTCTCAAGCGCTCTTTGTCCTTGATAGTTCATGATATTGATTCAACACATATTTATCAATTTCCGTTGCCCTATTTTTTTTTGTAAAATCTCTAATTTTAAGAAAACAATTTTTGAAACCAATTTTAGGAGATAAATCTATTCAACCCTCTTCTAGACTATTCTCACCCATATTATCCTCTAACAATTTTCACATCCACAATAATATTCTTCCACTCATTGTATATAATAATACGAATCACATTTCTTGATTTAACTTTGTCGGTGTACTAAAGTTTAAATTTCGAACTGTCAAATTCTTTCGCCTTTTCACATGTCTACTAAGTCTCATGCATGAACATGAAATTCGTCGTCCTTCTAACTGTAATGTTTACTATTTCCACAATTTTCTAATAAGCGTGATCATATTCTATGTTCTAAAATGAATCTTACTTTCATAAACTAACTTCTTTACCCACACCCGTTTACAAAAATGTGAGAGTCCTTACTTATTTTTCATTGGATTAAGACAACGATGCAATCACTCTTACGCTTTTGACATTGCAATTGAGTCATACATCGTCTTGCTTACGAGCAACAACCTAACACAATAATTTACTTTTATGTAGTCTTGAGACCGGTTACACATAAGAATGCTAATATAAACAAGACTAATTAAAGATATAAAACTATAAAGAAAAAAAATTATATTTATCAATTTTAAATTTTACATGTATTATTGCAAAGAAATTATTAATATATGTAGAAATTTATATTAAATGTTATATAAATAGATTATACGTGTGGTTGGTTCTTTGGTGAAAAAATTAATTTTAAATGATTGATCATGTAAAATCGATTCTAACTAAAAGTGATTTATATTTGAATAAATTTTATAAAAATGAGTTAAATATAAATTTCAATGTAAAAATTATTTTTAAACTTAAAAACTGAAAATATAACTGTAATTAAAAAATCAATTATATTTATAAAAATTAAATACTTTAAAATCATTCTAAAATTAAATTTTCATCTTTAAAATCAAACATACACTCAATCTAAAATAAATTAATTCATCTTAAATTAATTACTTCAAAATCATTCTAAAATCAATTTAACATCTTTAAACCTTTAAAACCAAAGGTACACTCCAACTAAAAAATTTAATTATCTTAAATTAAAGTTAACATTAAATACTTCAAAATCATTCTAAAATAAATTTAACATCATTAAATCTTTAAAACCAAACATATCCTAAAAAAAAAAAAATAGTTATCTTTAATTAAAGTCATAAAATTCTTGCACTTTTCCATTTCAACAACTCATAACACATAGCATGAAAAAAACAAGTGATATCACATCAAAGTGAGTGTATACACTAACACCTCGATTTTGTAGATCTAAAAAATCTTTATCATCACATTCACACCCTCAAATCTAGCATACCCAAACCATTAACCACCAACAATGCCTTTTTCCTTTTTTAGGGTTTCAATCCTCTCTTTCACTCTCACAATTCAACACTCTCAATTCCCACTCTCCTAAACCACCGTTCTTTACTACCACCATCTCAAACCCAACTCACTCTTCTAATTTGGAACTTTTCACAATGATTTCGACTGGGATTAACTTGGTAATGACTGTGATTGGTTTTGCTGTTAGTACAATGTTCATTGTTTTTGTTTGCACTAGGCTCATTTGTGCTAGGATTCACTTGAATGCTTCTAGGAGATCCTTTCTCATTGCTTCTAGATCAAATCTCAGTTTGGTAGGTAAAAATTTGTTGATTTTTTTCGTAAAATAGATGAAATTTGAACTTTGTATTGATTTGGAAATTTCCATTTGGAAATGCCTTTTAATGATTTCGGCTTTTGTCATTTTCTATGTGCAGATGGAGAGGGGTTGTCAAGGTCTTGAACGCATAGATGTAGCTAAATTTCCAGTTAAGAAGTACAGTGACAAGTTTTTTGCAGCTGGGGAAAATTCTCAGTATGTTTATATCTCACTTGTTTTATGATGTTCTTTTATTTCCTTAATTTTTGCATGATTAGTGAGCTGAGAAATTAATGAGAATGAATAAAACGATTTTTTTTTAATTACTAGTAACACTTTCTCAGCAAACTATTATAGCGTGGTTTCTTCCCAATTTGATTAGCGAGTTTGTAATGAAGATGCTAACAGGACTTTGTTGATAATGAGATAAGTAAGTCTTAGAGTTATGGCCGTTATGTGATTTTTGATGGCATGCTTGGTTCCATGTTCTTTAATTTGAAAATGTGTCTATCTTGCTAGAAAAAGTGTTGTGTCAGTCAAAGGTAAACAACTTAATCAAGTACTTATGTATAGTTCTATAATCCATGATAAAGTAAGGATAAACTATTTTCATATGTAGTAAGCTGTTTTGATAAGTTATCATATAGATTATTTTTTGCCAGAAATTCTAGAGAACTTATTGAAATTAGTTGAAAACAACTTAAGGACATGCCTTAAGGTGTTTTTACTTTTTATAGGCTCACTCAAATACTTTACGCAAGTGCTTATGCTATAAGATAAGTCCAGCTAAGCTATTCCGAATGCACCCTTGATTTATGCCCCTTTTGCTTAGAACTACTTTTTATCGGTGTCGTGGTTTGGTTGTCCCATGATTGTGTATTTTGTTGATTTTTTGCGATGCATCTTACATCAAAGTGTAGTTCCTTTGTGGTTAATCTGTGTGTATTGGTTGTTTTGGCCATTTTACCAGAGCTAATTATCGTAACCTCTTTAATGAATTTTCAATCCCTTCATAGTCTAAATCTATTTCATTTTCTTTCTAAACGTGTATACTGCCTTCAAATAACTTGTCATACATTATGACACAAGTAAGAGGGTGGTATAACAACTTGTGCAAACCTCATGGGAGGTCGGAACAATTTATGCTTGTTATAACTTATAAGTACCCTTTTTCTGTCTTGTAAATTATCAAAAGAAGAATTATTCCAACCTTGACCATTATACTGGTAATTTAGAATATAACTTGGGAAGATGTCAAGTCCCATTGTTTTGTGCAATTCTTAAATTCCACTCACAACGAATTTTGCAGGCCTTTGAGGGTCTGCACCTCCCACAATACCTAAAGGCCCTTTTTCTCTGAAATGACAAGTCGGCTTTCCTCTAACCCTCTTCTCTATTTATATAATTCACATCTAACCCCCTAACTAACTGGCTAACCAACAATAGTGATTACTTATCAATACCTGTCAAATATGAAATAGTATTTTATTTAGTTTAAGATTCCAGGAACTTAAGTGTGGGTTGTACATTAGCTATTGGAGTATTCTCAAATAATTTGTGACATATAGTTCTCATTCAGATGATTACTTCCCTGGTACAGAACATTCAATTTTGTTGTACTGTTTTACTTGCAGATGCACAGTCTGTCTCTCAGAGTACCAAGGTGAAGATACATTGCGTATCCTTCCCCATTGTGGACACTCCTTCCATATGGCCTGCATAGACTTATGGCTGCAGCAGAATGCAACTTGTCCTGTTTGTCGAATATCACTGCGTGAATTTTCTGAGAGAACGCAATCAATGCAACCTGTATATAGCTCTCATTATGGGATGGAGTCCTTTGACACTCATCATTATCATTGTAGAATGGCTAATAATGGATTATCGACAAGAACCCATGATAACCACGGAGTGAACCCTATTCAAGAGGATCACTTTCCATCTGAGGGTGATGGAGCAGTTGATGTAGAGAGTATCACCTCCTTAAGTCAGGGTGATTTCATTAAAGATGAAGAGAAGAAACATGTAGAGAGCCCATCAAATTTATAGATTTGGTTGGTTCCTTTCAAATTACTAATTGAGTAAAGATCATGTTCCAAAATTGGAGTGAAATGTATTAGCATGTTGAAAGATGGTTATTTTCTTTTATTTGATTGTATATATAGCAATGAAATTTTGCCCCTCTATGGGGCCTCCCTTTGCTGTCTCCTCCTTTGTTCTTTTCTTAATCTTCAACAATAGCTAGGATTTGAAAGTTGAATCAATCACACACACGCGCACATGCACGACAAGCACACGATCGCACACTTTCCTACCTGTAATTGTTGTTAAAGACTAGAATCAGTTGAGACGGGGCTGGAGCTACAGCTGTCTTTCACCCTGCAGACCATTGTATTAATACAATTCACACCGCCATTAATGTATTGTCTTTTTGTCCAACAGTTTATCATTTTTTTTTGGGATACATGTGTTTTCCTATCAAGATTCTTATTTCTTGGTGAGTACTTCCATTCTTTTTTCATTTGTTTTTTCACGATGTTTTTGAAGGAAAATTCAAGATTATGGTCCTTGGTTTGCCCAGAAAAGATTATATCATGTACACCGTAGAATCCATCTGTTTGTTTTTTATCAGGAAAAGGAAGAGTACTAGAAGGATTAAAAAGGTGACCCAACTCTTGTAAAGTAAGCTATTTAATACATGGGGGTAAAGTGAATAATTTTAACTGGTATAAACTGAACGTTAATGTTGTCTAGTCACTCTGTGTTATTGATATAATGTGGTGTACTTTCTGATTTCGTATAACAGAAAAGAATGACACAAATTTGCTCTCATTCTCCAATATCTGTCAACTTACCATTTTCACTCGGAACATATTTTTATTTTCTTGTAATATGAATATTGATAATGGTGGAAAGAATGTTCATATTGATAATGGTGGAAAGAATGTTGAATGAGACTGCATGAAGTGCTAACGACACTCACTTTTTAGTACTCTTTCGGTTATTGGGTGAAATTCATGTAGGTTGCGAAAACTTGGGAATGAGTCTCTTGTAAAGTTGTGTGACCTGTATAAATTTCACCCTGTTATAGAGTGAATATTAAGTAGGGTTTTAAAAGTGAGTGTTGCTAGCATTTATCTCGAGGCTAACAATAATCCGAAATTAAAAAAGCCCTCTACCATTCAAACTAATTAAATTAGTATCCATATTTTATAAATTGTCTTCTCAACTGATTTATGTCTCCTATGTGTTGAACTATATTTCTTTGCCACGGTATTGATGTGCGATTTTGTTTCCTTTCCCTTTGGTTGAGCAGTGGGCAACCGCCACGCCACCGTGAGTTTGGAGTTCTTCCACCGTGATTTTCAGAACCTCCAATGTGGAACTATTAGTCCACCTTAGTATATAAGTATATTCAATTTAGTTGCAGAGTGCTGAAGTAATGACTGTACAAGCATGTGTCAGTGTTATAGTACATGTGTTATTAGTTATTAGTCTGTCATGATGACATACTGAGGTGTGTTTGTCTGTCCTTCAATAAATGGACCGAACTTAGTAAGTTTGTGATCAAACAAGATATGTGCAGAATGAAGTAAACATTTTTATCCCAGCCTGGTAACTGTTGAACTGGATTTCCTTCTGTCAAAAAATAAAGAACTGCATTTCCAATTTACAAATGTATTAGCTCAAAATGATGGATGAATGGAAGAACTTGAATTACATTACTAGTGTTGCAGAATCTCTTGAATTCATTTTTCTATTTTTGAAATTCATTTAAATTACTCTATATGTACTTATACACATACTCATCACATTTCTGCAAAATATTCATATTGTCAGTAAGACTTATTGTGACCCTGTCATATGAATCAGTTCAACTGCTGCTATCTGCATATCCTAATTGTTCCTTTATCCTTGTGTCCTGGCTGGAACTTTCACTTCAGTATTCACATTTCACCCTCAAGTAAACCGCACTTGCACAAGAGGCACATTAGACACACTTTCTAAACAGGGGAAAAATAAGTCAAGAAAAGAATTCCTTGATTAATTCGTTTATTGATAGAGTAAGATACAACTATGACAGCTCCAAATCAAATTTATCCAACAAACAAGAGTACTACTAGTAGTTAAGATAACAAAACACAGAAGTCATTACATGATGTATATTTAAAAAAAAGATATAAAATCTTTGTAGAAACAAACAAACCAGAATTAACCAACAAAAAATATACAACTATTAATTTTAACCTCTTGGCTTAATTTTTGCTCTTAATGGATCCTTCATCACAACAGCAAACTCCATCTTTCCAGTGAAATCTATCTTCTTCCCCGGTTGATAAGCACTCCATTCAAACTCCTGAACCATCCTAGCCATCATCAAATGAATATGCACAGTACCAATAGCCAAACCAGGACATATCCTTCTCCCAACACCAAATGGCATCATTTTCACACCAGTAACACCTGTTATATCAGCTTCCTCACCCTTAGAAATGAACCTTTCAGGATCAAATTTCTCAGGGTTGGGCCACAATTTTGGATCCACACCTATGCCAGCTGTGTAAATCTCAATGTTTGCATCAATTGGTATATCATACCCTCCTAAAGTTGTAGGTTCTGTAACACCATGTGTTAGTACAAAATGTGTTGGAGGATGCTTCCTTAACAACTCTTTCACCACAGCTTGTAAATAAGGCATTTTCTCAACATCTTTTTCATCTACTTTTTTATCTCCAACTGTCATATTAATTTCTTGATAAAGTTTTTCTTGAATCTCAGGATTGTCAATGAGTTGTGCTATTCCCCACTCAACCGCAGTTGCTGTTGTATCTGTTCCTCCATTCAGAAACTCTGAGATAAGCGAAACCAATTCTTCATTAGAAGGTGATGATTTTTTACCTTCATGAACTTTGACATCAAAAAGTGTGTCTAAATATGAAAATGTTGTAGCTGTTTGATCTGAACCAGGATTTTGAATTGCTCTTCTTCTTTGTTCAATGAAAGGAACTATGAATTCGACTTGTTCTTTTCGAACTTCTAAAACTCTTTTTCTCTGCTTAGAGAAAAACATGCTTAGGATTGGTAAAAAGTCATCAATTCTTGGATCTAAAGTGATGAGAACATTCTTCATAACTTGATCTATTTTCTCAAGTTTGTCTTCATCCATTTCTAAACCAAAACACATAGCAACAAGTATGCAGAAAACTGCAAACCTTGCATCTTTGAGAACCCAAACAACACCATTATTCTTCTCAGCTTCAACACTAAGCCTACTGATGAGTTTATCCATTGATTTCTCTCTAACAGTTCTAAACTCTTTGAGTCTAGTTGAACTCAGCATGTTCTGAACCAGGTTTCTCCTCAGTGATTTCCAAACAGGACCATAAACTGCTGCATTCACAGTGAACTTGTTGGCACTGAAGATGTTCCTTGTAGGATTCTCAGGTGGTCTAGTTGCATAAAGAGCACCCTTTTGAATCAAAGCTTCATGCACAAGTTTCGCATCCGTGAGGACGATCATTGTCCTCGTTCCCATCTTGAGTGTGAAGATTGAACCATATTTTGCTTTCATATCTTTCACATACTCAAAGAATGGTTTCCCGGAACGCGCAACTTGGAAAAGGTTGCCGACGATAGGCCATCCCGGTGGACCTGGCGGAAGGTTGAGGCTTTTGGATTTGGTTTTCTGTGTGAGGAAGAAAATGATGGCTGATAAGAGAAAGGCTAAGACTGTGAAGATGAGATGGTAGTGAGAAGAAAGAGAAGCAGTGGATGAAAAGAGAGAAGAAGCCATTTTTGGTTTGGAATGAAAGGGAAAATTAAAGAAGGAATTGGTGGAGTTGATTGTTATAAGAATGGAGAAGACATAGATAGGTGGTTATATTAATGGAGGATAGTGTGAAATTTTAGGTAGGTTTATTAAAAGCACTTTCAAGTTTGCTAGCATGATTGGTTGGACTTACAAGTGAGGCAGCTATATGAGAGACTTCATCATCTTCAGCTGCTTGTGCGGCAGTTGTAGAAACACTTAGTTTTTTTTTTTTTTTTAAGATAAAAAATTAGCTTTTACTAACTTTTGCCTTTTAATTTATTAATTTTTCGGCGCACATCAATTATTTTCTTTAATTCCTGTTTTTTAACAAGAATTTATAGTTTTTTTTACTAGCCTGTGATCTTTTCTTCGTAACTATTTAAAATAGTTTTTGAATTTATAGTTTTTAGTATATTATTTTTTTAAATTTTATTCTTATTATTTTAATTAAAATTAATTTTTATTGTTTATAATTTATTATAGACATAATTAGTCATCAGCTCCCTTAAGTTAATTTGAAGTTCTACTTTAGTTTCTTAAAAAATATATTACACTTTGGTCCGTTAAAATTAGTTCTGTTAATATTATTGGTCTCTTCCGATAATTTTGTTGAGAAAACGTTAAGAGTTGTCAACGTGGCATGACAATCTCATATTTTTTCTGGGATTTTTCTTTACTGCGTTTGCATGTGCGTTATAATCAAGATTGTTTTAAAGTTTCATTCCATTTCTCTGGATCTTAAAATTGCATTTCTAGGGTTTTAATTTTCTCTAATGTCAAAGTTAGCAAGTAGTGCCACAATTGGAACAACTAGATCTATTATTCATAGAAACAAGAGGAGAGAGTGTTATTGCCAAGATGAATGTGTCCTTCGTACCGTGGGTGACATGAAGTGTGTGAATTTTGAGAAAAATTTTGAGGTTGTAGAAATTAAAGAAATCATATGAATAAGGTTGTAACTTCTTCAAGTGGTTAGATGACAAAATCGTTGATGAAAGATATTTGAAGATTCAAAGGTAAAAAAATAAAATCTACAAATTGAAGAATCAGGTTATCCACACTAGAGAATGGTTGAAAATGTCTATTATGGTTGGGATTTTGAGCTTTGTGTTGAATGTTGTTTTTGTAACAATGTATTATTAGATTGAGATTTTACCTGTCATGAGTGTATTGTATCTGTCATGAGTTTATGAGTGCAACTGTCATGAGTTTATGTATTTTGTGTGCCATGAGTTTATAAATGTACTTTTGTGTCACGAGTTTATGAGTGAAATGCATCTGTCATGATGTTATTAGTGCAATCAACACTGTCATGAGTTAATGTATTTGTGTTCCATGAGTTTTTTAATAGTGTGCCATGAATTGTATATGTCATAAGCAATTTGTAATTGTGTAACATATCAGAACAAAAATGCATATAATTTGGAATTATGTAACATAACCATATCATTCTGTATCATTCCAATAATCAGCAACAAAATTACATAATGTAATTCAAACTGAAATTATAAGCCATATCATTCCAATAATCAGCAATAAAATTACATAATGTAATTCAAACTGAAATTATAAGTCATATGACACAAAAGTGACATTATAAGTCATAAGTTACAGAAACTATCATTAGTCATAAACTATAAAAGAGGCATTATAAGCCATATGATAGACAAAAGTGACATTATAAGCCATAAGCTACAAAGTAGGATTATAAGTCATTACATCAACCAGTACACATCAAAACAACAAAGCATAACTATTAGGGTTGACTCATAACATGTTTTAGGCCTTTTTGAAGTCTCTTTTTCTTTTTGGGTGGTTGCTGAGTTGAAGTTACAACTGGTGTTGACTGAGTAGAAGTTGCAGCTGGTGTTAACTGAGTTGAAGTTGCAGTTGGTGTTGACTGAGTTAAAGTTATAAGTGGTGTTGGCTGAGTTGAAGTTGTAGGCAGCTTGCTTGTGGCCTTGTTGTGACCATCCTTATGGCACCGATTGCATTTAATACCAAATTTTACTCGTTTCAACTATAACTCATTTCTCACTTGTTCTCCAGCCTCCTTGTTTCTTTTCTTCTTGGGTCTACTAGGTTGCCTTTTTATAGGTGGTAGTTGTAGATCAACAATATATGTTTTTATCCATAGAGATTCCCCATTAACTGGATATAGTACCCGTGCATAACGAGCCTTATAACAATCCTTTTTTGAACAATCAAGCACAAAACCATAAACTTCTAACGGCTGATCTTTCATGCATGAAATTGCATGACATCATGGAAACCCTGTCAGCATCCACCTTCTACATCATGTTTTGAAAGATTGACAGCGAATTTTTTCTATTGAATGATATATGCCTAACCTTGTAGTCAAACTCACCTGCACGTTTGTTACAAATGAAGAAAACACAAGCATGAACCACAAGTTAATGTCTATAACAAGTCATAAGTTACAAGTGAAGAAAACACAAGTATGAGCCATAAGTTAATGTATATAAAAAGTTATTAGTTACAAATGTAGAAAACACAAGTATAAACCATAAGTTAATGTCTATAACAAGTCATAAGTTACAAATGAAAAAAACATAAGTATGAACCATAAGTTAATGTCTATAACAAGTCATAAGTTACAAATGTGGAAAACATAAGTATGAACCATAAGTACACACATTTACCTAACAATCCAATTGTTTGTTCTTTGTGATTCCTTTTCCATTCTCTTTTTGATATTTGATAGAATGTTACCATCAAATTTGACAATATTCTCCCTGTCGGATTCCCACCTTTGCATGAGGTACACTCTAATTTATTCAATCATAGTCACAATAGGCCTGACTCTTCCGGCTACAAATACTAAGTTGAATGTCTCTGACTTGTTGTTCACCAAAGTATCACAACTTGGACTGGTTCTAAACCTTGATTTGCTCTAGAACCTTGGTGGAATCTTCCAAAGGTGCTTGAATGCCTCTTCATTAACACTTCTCATTTCACACATTATTTTTTCCCAAGCATTTACACGAGTAGTAGTAGTATCCTTCCACATTAGTTCCTTTAGCTTAACACCTAGAAACTTCTTTCTTAAATTGCTGAATAAATGCCTACACAAATGCTCCAAATATCAAATATCAAATATGACTTATACAAATATCACATGCTGACAAAAATATCACATATTAAATATGACTTATACAAATATGACCTAACACAAAATCTTTGGTCAACCTCTGGTAGCAACTCATCAAGTTCTGGCAATAAACCCTGCATTACAATTAAAATAGATTAGTCATGAATGTGTATGTTTGAAACTCCGTAATGTGTAAGAAATAATTAAAACAAATTAGTCATATCCACCTTTTATTGATCACTTATAAATGTATAAGTCTTGCATAATCTGACCCCTCCCAAATCATATGTCAATAGCTCCAAAAACCAACTTCATTATTTGGTTTCACCCTCAACAACAACAAATGCTATTGGCAACATTTGGTCATTTGAATTCCTCCCAATGGCAGTAAGTATCTCTCTACCATAATAGCCCTTTAAAAAACACCCATCCAATCCTATGATAGGTCTTCACTTGAAAAAACTATCTTTGCAAGCTTTAAATCATATATAAATCCTTTGGAAATGTGGATTCAAAGACCTCTCAGGATGGTCACTACTTTCCTCTCCACCTTGAATTGGTTGACTTGTAATTTTCACAATTGATCCAGGGTTTTCCCTTAACAGCTCATGGCCATAATCAATGATTCTTGTATATTTCTCCTTAAATGAACCATCAACAGTGTCAACAACAAGTGACTTTGCTCTATATGCAAGTGTCTTATTGATCCCTACATTCCACTTTGATTTTGTTTTCTCCATTAAAATCAGTCAACTTCAAATTAGGATTCTCTCTTACATTACTTTGAATCTTTTTGCCCAACCACTTAGAATTAAGGAATCTAACCTTATAATCCCTACTGCATGTGTGCTTGTCCACTATATTTCTTAACTTCCAAGTCTCTTCATATTGTATTTTTGCACAGTATGACTCCCATGGAAAACCTTACATATCACTATCATCATATTGTTATCATTTTTCTTAAATTTCAGGTTTCTACCAGAATGAATAACATAAGTTCTAATTGCTACTTAAAAGTCTTCCTTAGTTGAAAAAAATTTCTTAATTCCCACTTGTAATCCTCCATTCTTTTTGGAAGCTTGAATGTTTGAAAATCATGTTTTAAAACCTCTTCATCTTCACTGTCATACTCTTGAGGTAACTCATCACTATCATATTCCTTAATGTTACACAATCCTCTAAAGCTTTCTTTTGGAACCTCACATTCATTCACAACATCAATTGAACCACTATCTTTAATTGATTCTTCCTTCTCCCTTTGTTTCCTTGGTCTCCCAACCTTGGCTTTCCCATTCCCTTTACCTTTTCCTTTGCCCTTCCCATGTCCTGTACCTCCACCATTTCCTTTTCCTTTACCTTTCCCTTTTCCTTTTCCCTTCCTCTTCACTAATTCCTATATCATCCTCATATGAATCTTCAAAGTTCACATTCAAAGCACTGTCATCTTAACTACCACCAACCTCTTTTTGGTTACATTCTAGTCCCTCATCTTCTTCTTGGTTACAAATTAGTCCTTTAACTACTGAATCCTTTTGAGCACATACTAGATAAGGCGTGCCATCCAATACATCAACTTCTTGATCACATACCATATGATTAATGGTCTCCTCAAAGTAATATCCACTATTACATCCTCACACTCAGTGGTCCCCTCTAAATTAACATCCTCACATGAATCCTTTTGGTCAATTCCCTTAGTGGTCCCATCCAAATTAACATCCTCACATGAAGATTCTTGGTCACCTGCATATGTATCTTCTACACCAGTGGTCTCTCCTTCATCAAACTTGTCACTTAGATTATTCAAATCTTCAAAAGTACCCAAATCTTCAAAATTACCTTTTACACCATTATTCAAATCATCCAAATT